ATCAAACAATGCCATAGGAAGATTCTCGATCACGTCCAAAAATGTGAGGGGAGATTATATGCAAGTGGGGGATAGAAAAAAAAAATTACAAACACAGAGATACAAGTGTATCTGTGATAAAATGTAAATAAAGGTTATAAGGTGCAAGCAATTTTTTTTTCCACTTCTTTCACCTGTATATAATTTCCCAAAATGTGAAGGTAGGATCACCGATTGATTTGAACGAGAAATGACATACAAACGGTAACGTTTTTACATTAATACTTCCATCATGCGGAAATTTTAATATAGACGCTTTTCAAAGCGTTGCATCAATACACCTTAGTTATGATTAATTTTTTTTCTTTGATTATGTTATTATTTTAATTATGACTCATGAACTTTTTAATTATACTTTATATTATGTTTGATTATAACTTTTATTATTTTTTAGTTATAATTAAAAAATATAAAATTATGTTATTTTCTTATTTAATTATAAAATATATATAGTACACACTTTTCGAGTATTGTATAACATAGTGTTTTCCCCATCATTTTAAAAATGGTTGGTTTCTCAAAAAATTGCAATATCTATTTGAGTGAATATTTGGTTTTGTTAAGCTTATTTTGGGATCAATTTCGGTAATTTAAATTGTTTACTTTTTAGGATTTGTTAATTACAATATTCATGCAAACAAATATCAATATAATTGGATATCAGTAGTTATATATTTAAATTATATTTGTTTAAAAAAAAATAGATAGCAAATATAATTTTAAGAATTGTAATTCAAATGCGATTCAAACATATAGTTATTAATATCAGATCATTTTGATTTTTTACAAGAATGTTCTATTTAACAAGTCATAAAATATGAATGGTTTGGACTACTAAAATAAATCTCAAAATAAACCTTCCAAGCCCAAACGTTATCAGATTTAGATGACCCACTTAAAACAAGCTAATTCCTATTAAAAAGGACAAGAAAGTAATTTTTGGTGTAATTTTTTTAAAATATTTATAAATAAATGATTTTTTTCATGAATTTATAATAAAATTTTAAAACTACTACTTACGACTGAAGAGGATACTTTCCAAACTGTACGAGCAAGAAATAATCTTCTCGTATAATCCTGTTGATCAAGTCCACGCTCCTCCAAACGTAGTCGCTTTACTCCCTGAAAACACAAACGTGAGCTAGCCGGCGGGTGTGTGCCGGATACCCCTCCGATGCCTAAGTCAGCAAAATAGACAAATAGACAAAAGCTGTGTATTCGGGAATCAAAATTGTGTTACCTCTCCATAGGTGATGTTATGAGCTTTTATAGGTTCTGTATGACACAATCCTAATAGGACTCTTACTCCTCCATGTAGAGTCCTCCTAGGAATCACATTCCTGAAAGATAATGTTTCTCCCTCAACACCTCTCTCACTGCTTAAACCAAGTGAGATGGTTTTACCACGGTTGGATGTCAATACGACCGAGATAACATGTCCAAGCTAAAGCCGCAGACTAGACTGAGCTCCAACTAGCTCGGTTCTTCCTTTCACTGCACGTGTACCTCGGCTGACATTCCAACTGGGTTGTCCGAAATCGTGCTATCCACAATGAGCTTGGACCGAGCTAACCAATAGCAAGGTTCTGAGGAAAGCTCAACATACTTCGGCCCAACATAGTATGACCGAGCTAACTATTACTGCGCCAACCGTGGCGACCGAGCTAACCACTAAGCTCCTTCGGACCGGACTAATTACAAGGCCCTTTTACTCAGCCCTTCTCACCGTGGTCCACAGAATGGCCCATTACCTAACTCGGCCCAATTTATATATAAATTACCCTCTCAATTGCTCCTTAATTCCATCTGCACAGCATGATAGGGATTACCTGCTACCAGCCGAGCTAAGAAAATCTTCAGCCTTCCAACCGAGCTAAACCCATACCGTGCTATCAATTAGTTTGGTCAAAATGTCTTTTCAGCCGCTGTTACTGAATCGGTTTATATTCCCTGGACATGTGGCAAACTCTTATTGGTTCATCATAGTTGTCACGCCGCCCTCGTACCTCGTGAATTTTGAACAGTCTCGTCTTTTTTCCTTTCATTTTTACAAAACAAATCCTTATACTACAAACCGTTTCACTTGCACTTATTCATCTTCTCTTTTTCTTGCTCGAACCTCCATTGCTGCCACTCTTGCACCTGCGAAGCTTGCATTTTTGACATCTCCTTCGCAGTTTCAGACCCACATCCTTCCTTCTTCAATCTATAAGTAACTTAATCCCTTTTTGCTTTCCGTTTGAATAGTTTACATGCACTATATGTGCTTTCCCACAACACTTTTTTTAAAATAGTTTTTCTCTGAAACAAGTAAGAACAACTTGAATGATACCCACCACTACTGATTTTGCCAGAAAATTGAACTGTGACGTCTTAGATCAGAAATCATACTCCAACCGGACTAGGAAGTAGTTTGTAATAGGTGCGAGCCTTAGCAAAACTGAACAACCGAGCTAAGATTTCATGAACACTTGTTGTTTCAAGTAGGTGTAAGAATCTTTTGCTTTACTTAGCCGAGCTAGCGAATTAGATTAGGTTTTCACAATGCCACACTAGAAAGCCTCAACCATCGACCGAGCCTAATCTTGGGGCTAAACCAGCTCCCTTAGTTCAAACCGAACTAAGATTGCTGCCCCAATGGCTCGACCGGGCTAAAGCCCTTTGCTTAAACCGAGCTAAGTCCATGTAACCAAGCTAGGACTTCTTTAACCGAGCTAGGACTTTATTTATCTTGCCTATATTTCTTGTAGCGCGGTCCCATGATTTCTATTCTTTTTTACTTTGCAGACTCTGATTAGGTTGGCCAGGCACTCCTCTGATTGCTCAACCGAGCTACTAGGCGCCTTTTCTTGACCGAGCTAATCCTTCAGCTAATTTATTGATAATTTAACAATTAATGGGTAAATATAGGTTTTTAGTAAACTCACCAGGGGCCATAGCTGAATTCCGTAAGGACTACCAAATTCCGGATGATGTCCACCTTTCACTAGCCGAACTAGACATCATTCCCTGGGGAAAACAAGGCTTTGTCCCTTTTAACGTTATTTTCATCGTAGAGTGCAGTCTACAATTCCCTGTACAACCCCTTCTTTGTGAATTTCTTAGACAAACCAAGCTCTGCCCTACCCAACTTTCCACAAATTCTTATCGCATAATAAACGGCATTGCCGAGCTAAACTGCCGGGCTAGCCTTAATCTCGGTCTAACCGAGCTCTTCCATCAATACTCCATAGGATCGGCCGAAGATGGCTGGGTTTACTATTTACGAATAAGGCGCCGGTGTGAAAAAATAATAAAGGATACCCCAGATAAAGACGTGAATGATGATGATTTCTTCTGGGTATCTAGGAACTTTGAGGACCATCAAGCCCAGATCCCTGGTCACAGAATAAATTGGAATAAGGGTGTAGCAGGTAGGGTTACCTCGGCTTTATTGCATGCTTTTCTTTACCTCAGTTTTCACTTTATGAACCGAACTAACTGTTGTCTTCCTTCATGCAGATTTGAACTTTCTTAAGTCCCAATACAGCTACCCCAACTTGAATGTTCTTCAAGCCGCACTCCGCTATCCAAACAGAGGCTGGGCTGAGCTACTGAATTTCGAACCAACCTACCGATATAGCGGCCGCAGGAAGACCAGAGTGATCGATTTCCTCCTTGAACCTTCGCCAAAGCCAGATCCATCCTTGACTCAAATCAATCTCATCCCATTAACTACCGAACAAGAAATGACCAAGAAAAGAGCAGTGAGATCCCTTCTAACCGAAACAAACCAAGCCGAGATGCCACCAGCAAGCCAACCACAAGAGACCGTGGTGGCCTTATCAACCACTCAGCCCTCATCATCTCGTCCAAGCAAGCATGCTCGGACTTCCACAACCGAGCCACGCCTTGTTGATGAAGAAGATACCATCCCTCCATCAAGCCCTCCACCGAGCCCACAACCGGAGCGCTCCGACCGAGCTAGCTCTTCTAAGTGGGCTCCAAAGATCACTTTTCAGAACCGTGCTATACGGGACACTGATTCAGTGGTCATTGAAAAAGACCACCTAATGGCATTTAATCTGGCCAAAAACGTTTGCCTTCCACCTGACATGGAGCACCACGACCACCTAACCGAGCTGAAGGCCCTTCGCTCGTCCACAAAATCCATGGTGCTGGTAAGTAGCTCATTTGCTTTTCTTTCAAATTCTTACGACTTTTTGCTTGGTTGTACTGAAAATTTTCTTACCAACCTTTTACAGGCCATACAGAAAAACCACACCGCTCATAAGCGAGTGTTGGAACTTCGCAAAACCACCAGGCAGGCCATGGCCGAGGCTAATGAAAAGGCGGCTGAGCTAAAAGAGTCCCAATAGAAGACGGCCGAGCTAGAGGCCAAGGTGGCTCGACTAACCGGGCTAGTTACCTCGACTGATGTCGATAAATAAAAGGCCCTGGCCGTGATGAAAGATAAATATCTGCGCGAGCTGGCCAAGCTTGAAGGAAAAAAGAATGTGGAAATAACAAAGCTTGAGAAGAAGCTGGATGATGCGCAGGACTGCGGTTTCAAAGATGGTGAAACCCTGTTGTCACGACCCAAACTCGGCCCTATGGGTTTAGCACCGTAACTGGCCAGTAATCCGAGATTACCAAAGGCCTGCTTAACAGTAGCACAGTAAAACAGAGTACAGGGCCTGGCGGAAGCCAAAACAGTAAAGAAACAATATCCATTGAGCTGTGACAGTCTGTATGCAAAAAGACTTTTCATACATATATACACAAACAGTACAGAACAGTATGCACAATATATACAATCATTCAGAATAGGGACTTAATCCCTATATAACAGTACAGTAAACATTCAGTCTATACAATCCACTCGGTTATCACAAAACAGTAAGACAGTACAGAAGGGGGAATTGTAAAACACCCCTAAGCCTTAACAAGATAGGCTTGGAACCTCGCAGTGAGGCACATAGGCTGGCTTGACAAAACTGGAGTAACCTTGACGCTCCTAGCCGCGGTTTGGTGCCTGAACACCTACATATATATAAGAGCAGTGAGCTAAAGCCCAGTGAATAACATAATGCGTAAAGGGGTTAAGAATGAATGTCTTTACAGTAATGAAAACAGTCCATTTAAACAATATTTCAGTCATTCAGTCAGCACAGTCATATGTGGTACATCCATTAGCATATCAGTACAGTAAACAGTAGGTCTTAAAAGACCGAGCAGTAATGATGGCCATCAGTCAGTAAACAGTAGTGGTTCCAACAAGGGAACCGACAAAGATCTCTGTAACAGTAACAGTAAACAGTAGGTGCTAAGGATGCCACAATACAGTTCAGAATATAGGACATACATTCATTCAATTAACAGTAATCAGTTCAGAAAACAGTACAGTTCAGTTGTCAGAAGATAATCATTTGTGAACATATCTTTACAAATCGTTACTCACAGAGTTCTGGGCTACAGTATGCTAGAGCGTGTCTCCCCAGTCGCCAACCCTACACAGTTAACAGATTGAACACACTAAGCTACACAGCTGGAAAGATAATAACTTAATCCCTAATTTGCCTCGGTGTGTTCTACATCTATATCCTCAATAAGATGTCTTAAACTAAGCCTAAGAATGCCTAGGATGAGAGAAGGATGCAAAGATGTGATCAGAAAACAGTTTCAAGAGTTTTCAGAAACAGAGTCCCGCTCGAGTCAGGTTTCCCCGCTCGAGCGGTCATGCAACAAAGGTACACGCTCGAGCGTCAAATATCCCGCTCGAGCGTACTGTAAAAGTACTGGATGGGTGAAATCTCCGCTCGATGGACGCTCGACTCCCGCTCGAGCTGGAGACACATGACTCCGCTCGAGCGCCCGATCCTCGCTTGAGCGGACTGTTAAAACAGTGCAGAGATACTGGATGCTCGGATTCGCGCTCGAGCGTCACTAGCCCCCGTCTGAGGCGGAAGTGCAAAATCTGGGAATTCCAGATTGCACCTCCAAGCCAAAACCCAGGCTTTCACAATTCAAAACTCGACCTCTTGGGCTGAATTTCCAGAAAACATTTGTAAACACATAGAATAACATGGTTCAAAGCTCAATTTTGAGAAATCAAAGCCCAAGGGTGTTTAATTCAAACCCAATTTCAAACCATTTTCATGAACATGGAGAACATGCAAACATGCATGAATTCAAATCAATTCAAAGCTTCAATTTGATGCTCTAAGGAGCCAATTGATCCAAAAACAAGTTGAAAACATGGACCAATACAAAATTATGGACATGCATGTGACAATTTGCCATGAACTCAACTCAAAATCCAACAATACTAACATGCATGCATGAATTATGCTCTATTTCAATATGCTAGAACTAATCCATGGCTCAATTCACTAAATTTGACATGAATCATGCAAGAACAAGCTCAACAAGAGGGTAGTACTCTACCTTAGGTCTTGAATTGGAAGACTAGGAGCTCAATTAAGCAATCTACGCTTTAATTCTCCAAGTTTCTAAGCAAATTGAGAAGAACTCAAGCTTTCTCTCCCTCTCTCCCTCTCAAGTCGGCAAGAGCAAGGAAATGGCTGAACAAAATGTTGCTTACGTGTTTGATGAGGCTCAAATATATTGTATTTAGTGGCCACTAAGTGGTCTAATGGTAATTAAGTCCAAAACTCGCAATCCATCAATATTTAATCTAATTTAATCATACCTAATCAATTTTCAGATAAATACACCATAAAATCACATTAATTATGAGGATCATAAAACATCAATCAATTCCCGGTTCGGCCGCCAATAAGGCCTTCAATTAGCAGTTTAAACATGAAACATGAACAGATCAAATAAACAATCAAACAGATAGAATACAAATTAACATACGTACTCAGTCAATTCAGTTCCAGTTTTCAGTCAGTCAATCAGTTCAGTACTTTACTCAGTTCAATTATCAGTCATGATCAGTTCAGTTTAACGGTAATCAATGTTTATCGGTAAGCAGTGGTGAGGGTTATTACACCTGTACATCAAGCAGTGTGAAGCTGCGAAGGACCTGTTCTTTAAGTGCGGGTGAAGGGAGGCTGTGGTGCAGCTCGGTCATGGACCTGAGACCAAGGTCTTCAATCCTCCTTCATATTTCATACCGAGCTCACTGGCGGAGTATGATGCTACCATTCAGCAACAATTTCTGGAGGAGGAGGATGAAGATGAAGATCCAGAAGACAACACTCAATCCGGTCGTCGGTCTACCTCCCCAACTCCAGAGGTCTCCATCCCACCTTTGCCAGCTGTGTCCGATGCTGTGCCTTCAACCGAGCTTAACCAGAGCGTGGTTGCCATAACCGAGCTACCTCTGGGTGAAGACCGGGTTGTTTTAGATGCTGACTTAGATGACCTGTTTGCTTGACTTACGTATTTTTCTTCTTTTTTGTCTTTTGGAAAGAGATTGTAACCGGGCTGAAGTCCCCCATTTTGTACTCGATTTGAATCTTCAATGAAATCTTTTTTTGTTGGAACTGTTGTTTCGGTTTACTCTTATGCTTGCCTTTACTTTTCAAAAGTATTCTGAATGTAGTATAACATTTTCCAGCCGAGGTAAATATCTCGGTTTTAGCTTTGCAATTTGACTGGCCATACCTGTCAACCTCTTTAGCCTTGATCCTTATCTTGGCTAAAAAAACAATAAGCATTGGTTTTTCCAGCCAACCACTCTTTAGCCTAGATCCTTACTCTGGCTGAAAAGTACTAAGTGTTGGTTTTTCCAGCCAACCTCTTCAGCCTAGATCCTTATCTTGGCTGAAGAACAATAAGTGTTGATTTTTCCAGCCAACCACTCTTCAACCTAGATCCTTACTTCGGCTGAGGAGTAATAAGTGTTGGTTTTTCCAGCCAACCTCTTCAGCCTAGATCCTTACTTTGGTTAAAGAGTACTAAGTGTTGGTTTTTCCAGCCAACCTCTAAGTTGGTTATTTCTGCTAACCTAGAGTGGAGTGTTTGGTTAATCCGACCAAACGTCCTGCAGCCTGGATCCTTATCCTGGACTTAGGAGGGGTGTTGGTTTTTCCAGCCAACCTCTAAGTTGGTTATTCCTGCCAACTTAGAGTAAAGTGGTTGGTTATTCCGGCCAAACGTCCTGCAGCCTGGATCCTTATCCTGGGCTTATGAGGGGTGTTGGTTATTCTGGCTAACTATGCTTTCAATGCCCCTAGCTCACTAAAACAATCTTTTACAGAAGGAAACAATCTATGCTGAAAAGAAACTACTTATTTTATTGAGAAAAAAAAACTACAACTGAGTTTAGAGAAAAGCTAAATATAAAATAGTTTGAGATTGGCAGTGTTCCATAGCCTGGGACTGGCTTTGTTGTCTTCATCTTCCAAGTGATATGCCCCTTTTCTTGCTAATCCAACCACCTTGTAGGGTCCTTCCCAGTTGGGCCCTAACTTGCCGTCTCCGGGTACCAGGGTGTTTCCCATTACTTTGCGCAGTACCCAATCTCCAACCTTGAATTACCTTGGATGTACTGTCTTGTTATATTTTCTGGATAACTCTTGCTGGTACGAGGCAATGTGAACCAGTGCTCTTTCTCTTCTTTCTTCCGCAAGGTCGAGCTCTAATGCTATGGCTTCTCCATTTAAGTTTAGATCAAAATTTTCACTTCTAATTGTGGGGAGGCCAACTTCCAGTAGGATTACTGCTTCCATGCCATAGGCCAAGGAAAAGGGTGTTTCTCCGGTTGATCGCCGAGGTGTGGTACGGTAAGCCCATAAAACATGAGGAAGTTCCTCGGCTCACTTGCCTTTTGCTTTCTCTAACCTTTTCTTCAATCCATCCAAGACGACCTTGTTTGATGCTTCCGCCTGGCCATTTTCTTGGGGGTATGCCGGTGTAGAGTTGTAGAATTCTATCTTGTACTCCTTACAAAAGCCTCTAAAAATTTTGCCATCGAACTGAGTGTCGTTGTTTGATATTAGCGCCTTGGGTATGCCGAATCGTGTGATGATATTCTGCCAGACAAACTTCTTCACATCTTTCTCTTTTATTGATGCTAGTGCTTCTGCCTCCACCCACTTTGTGAAGTAGTCTGTTGCTGCAAGGAAGAACTTTCTGTTGCCAGGTGCCGTTGGAAGTGGTCCTGCTATGTCCAAGCCTCACATTGCAAAGGGCCATCGGCTTGTTAATGGTAAGAGTTCTCTGGATGGCTGATGTATTTGGTGTGCGAACTTCTGACATTTCTCGCACTTCTTGACATACTTCTCTGAATCCACTTGCATGTATGGCCACCAATATCCTTGCGAAATGGCTCTGTAAGCTAACGATCTTCCTCCTTGATGGCTTCCGCATACGCCTTCGTGAATTTCGAACAGGAATGCTTCGACCTTGCTGGAATGGACACCCTTCAGGTAAGGTCCTGTGAAGGATTTCTTGTACAAGGCCATTGATGGGGAGAGCCAAAATCGCTGCGACTTTGCTCTTATTTTGTTGGCCTCTTTCTTCTCTTCTAGTAGGACGCCGTCTTTTAAGAACATTATAATGGGATCCATCTATGAAGGGCCTAGTTCGGCGCAACATACCTCTTCTACTTCGGGGTTCTTTAATGCTTGGTTTTGGTAGGTAGTTAATTAGTAACGAATGAGGGATGGATGTATCTGCCATCGAAGCAAAACCTGCTAGTTCGTCCGCTCTGCTGTTTTCTTCCCTGCCAATCTGCTCTATCCGCACTACTTCAAATTTCTTGATCTCTTTTCTGATTAACTCTTGGTACTTAGCCATCCTGCCATCTTTTGCTTCATAGTCTCCTGAAATTTGGTTTACCACCAGCTGTGAGTCACTGTAAACCATTACCTCGGTGGCCTTCATGTAGAATGCTGATTTCAGTCCTGCTAAAAGTGCTTCATATTCCGCCTCGTTGTTTGATGCTGGGAAGCCAAGGTTGACTGCTTGTTCCACCACTAGGCCATCTGGTGAGATGAGGACTATGGAGAGTCTTGCTCCGTGCCTATTGGATGCTCCATCCACAAAGAGCTTCCACATCTCTCCAACGA